AAAAAATTAAAAAAAAAAAAAGAGCATGAGCTCCTGAATCCGGGGCTAGGTTCCTATCTCCGATTCTGTCCTTACCTCTGTGTGAACTTGGCCTTCCTGCTTGTAATGAACCTGAGGACAGAGACCGCCTGGTACTCTCTGTTGACACAGCACGTACGGGGGTGCCTTACACAAAGCAGGGGCTTATTATCGCCTTCTATCGAAACCCCAACGCACCAGTCGTTCCTACTCCATTATGCGGACTGTGCGTGGTGGCCACGGGCAAGCGAGTTCACTTCTCTGCGCCTCGGCTCCTTCGGCTGTAACGGCAATCATTGTAGTGCCTACATCATGCAGGGATATTATGAGAATAAAATGGGTATAATAATGATACTACATCCTGGGAGAATCTTAGGCTTATAGAAAAGTTACAAATATGGCACAGAGAAGTTCCACCTACCCCTGACCCAGCGTCCCCTAAAGTTATGTCCCACCCCAGTGGTTCATCTGCCAAAACTGAGAAATTCCAAAGCTGGAGTACTATGATTTAGCTTCAGACTTCATTTGGATGTCACCGGTTTTTCCCCTTTTTCCGTTCCAGGATCTAAAGCCACATTTGCATTTAGGATTTTCTTAACAATATGTCTAACATTTATTGGGCAAGCATTGTCCTAAGTGCTTTTACGTATCAACTCACTTCATTGCCGCCTGTGCGGCGGGTACTATTCTTCTTCTTCTTCCCCTTAGATAATGAAATTGAGGCTTCAGAGGTTAAGTAACTTGCTCAACACTACAGAGCTAGTAAGACCAAAAGTCAGGCCAGCTGCATCTGACTAGAGACTATTTCCCCCAATGACCAACCAATGCGGTCCCTCAGGAATTTAAAATACCAAGAAAGTCCTGGCAAAAGAAATCACAATTGCAGTTTTTCACAATAACTTGTCCTCTAAGATGCCCTGGATCCTCCCACCAAAATAAACGGACTGAGCACCTCCCATGACTGGCCCCAAGCCACCACAGAGAACGGGCTCAGGGAGTGAAGAGAGAGGTTCGGCAGAGACACAAGTCAACAGGAGACTTCAGGACAGAGGGGGAAGTGAAGGGCAGGCACGGGGTGCTAAGGGATACAAAGGAGGGGCACCTCACCCAGGAGGGAGTGGGGACTCTTGAAAGCTCCCAGAGGAAGAGACATGTAAACTACAGCTTGAAGGTTGAGTTGGGGTCGGCCAGGCAACGTGGCAAACAGGGCTGAGTAACGAGAAGACATTCTAAGCACCAAGAACAGCGTGTGCAAAGCCTGCAGGCAGAAAAGAGCCTGGCAGGGCTTGGCTGGAATAGAGTCCAAGGAAAGGAGAGGAGAACTCATACCAGCGGGAGAGGTAAGGCCAGACTCTGGAGGGCCTTATACATCCCTTGCGCTACTCCAGGTCACGACAGGCTAGGCAACAGTGACAGACAACCCCAAAGCTTCATTGGCTTAGCATAACAAATACCTGTTTCTCATTCAGGTAAAGTCTGCTGGCAGTAGGGCAGGCCTCCTCGGTCCTGTAACTACAGCTTCTAGAACATGCGCCTGGGAGGCCCCCTGCAGAAGAGAGAAGAGGTATACTGGGTCTGCAGGTCTTAACTTCCTGGGCCTGGAAGTGACATGTCACTCCCCCACACATGTCACATGGCTCCAACCTTCATGGCAAGTAATTGTAGCCTGTGTACCAGGAAGACACAATGCCATGGTGAACCATGTTCTGCATCAACCCCACTATGCTCAGGAATTTGAAATTACCCCCGCGGGCCCTGAGGTGCACTTGAAGTTTTAGGCACGAGAATCCCGTGGGCTAATTTTGTATGTTAGGGAGCTCAGTCTGGCTGCAAAGTGAAGAAGCAAGCAGAGCGAGGGATGACAGGAAGTGAGGAGGCTAGCATAATTGCAGTATTCGGAGCGAGACATGAGGGTGACAGAGCAGGGACCGTGGCAGGTGGGAACAGAGAGAAGTGGATGAATTTAAGAGTTTTGTCAGAAGGAGAGTTGACAGAATTCCCTGAGTGACTGCACATGGGAGGCGAGGGGAAGAATGAGTAGAAGATTAGAAGAAAGAGGAAGGAATTCAGGAAGGAGCCCAAATTTCAGACGTGGACAGTCAGGTGGCCGGTGGCCCTAGGCACAGAGGCAGGGAGAACCGTGTGGCATTCTGGATTTTGTAACTGGGCAAGCAATAGAACATGGGGGGTGGGCAGGGGCCTGTGTGAAGGCACAGGGGAAGGACATAAAATTAAATCCTTATTCTCTGCAATGGGAAGTCAATAGACAATGCCGAAAACTGAAAAAATCAAATAGGATTAACATAACCATATTCTTTAGTGATATCAAAAGGAAAAAAAATCAGCCAAGAGAGTTTCAAGTGTCTGCCTCCAGGGAGGAAAAAAAAACCCAGGGAAAATGGATGGAAGACTGACATTTTCCATAACAAATTTTGTAGAACTACAACTCTTTAAATAAACAATGAGCCTGTATATTTGACAAAAATGACTGTTCTTTCAAAAGAAAAGACTGGCTGGTGCACGGTGTTTCTACCTTCAAGAGGTGTCTTTGACCCCCTGATGCAGGGGGTTGTCCTCCAGGATTTCAAAGGACACTGTGCCAGGGAGGGGGCTGTGCCTCATCCCTGCCATATGTCTTCATTCATGCTGTGCCCCTGACCTTGATTCCCAGAAAAATCAGAGGGGGCTTTCTAAGGAAGACCATGTTCGGCCTAGCTCTTGAAAAGTCATAGAACTTCCCAAAGGAAGGAGCACTTCAGATGGGTGGTGAGGGTGAAAGCCTGGAGGTGTGACAGAGAGAGATGTATTCTAAAATGATCGTCCCTCTGTTTGGTGGCCCAGAAAACAAATGCAGTGACCCTGGGATGGAGACAGAAGCTCGACCAGGTAGCTAAGGGAACAATTTGGTGCAGGGTATTCATAACATGAGGTCCA